GAGTAATGGACATTGGAAACTGAAAAAGCAGTGAGCTCCCCTGTTCCAGAAGAAAGTTACGCACTATGAACCTGAATATTACTTCAGATTTGTTGAACTCTCTGGTAGACAAATCCATCACTTTTCACTGGCATCCCAGCTCCCAAGCTGAAGTGTATCACCCTCAGATCACTGGACACCTGCTACAGTATTGATAAATCTTGCTAGTGTCAAGTACAGACAATTTAAAAAAGCACATTTTTGGTTCTAGGGTTTGTGTTCTTTTCAGGAAAGAGAAAAGAAATTATTATTACCTACAAAGCAAGTAGATTTTAGACCTGTCTTAGGCTTGGTAATACATAAATACAAATAGTAGCTTTACTAATCAAGATTTCACTCTAGGATTGGAAGCTTCTAGATCAATCTGTTCACCTATCTAAGTCATAGAAAAGATGGAAAAGATTCTGGAGAGAGAAAAAAATACAAAAAGAAACATCTCTACTATCACATACCTATTAAAAACATAAAGGCACTGGTGGTCTGGTGGAGTTCTTCTAGTTATCTTAAATATAATCTGACTGTATCCATAAAACCATGGAGCTTCTTTAATTCCCTTTGATCTTGAAGTCTTATTTATAGAAGGACCTTCAATTGCTTTTAGAGAAAACTGCTAATACTAGAATATTTAGAGTTCCCAGCATTTAATAGTCTCTGAAAATATTAAAATTAAAATTAAATAATTAAAAACAATAGAATTAAAAATGCACTTCAATAATATCCTATGAGGAATAATCTTAGAAACACTGATATATCAACAGATAGCTGGAAATGTATGGGGACAATATTTCATAGACAAAATCATTAGTTCAGACTAAACATCACTAATTATTCATAAAATATCATTCAATGCCAAGTATCATTTCAAAGACAAACACCTCTTTTAGTGCATTTTTTTTTAACACCGGGCTAAGGATTACTCATGAACACAAAAACGCTCCTTAATTACTTACATTGCTCCTGCCTACAGTCTCCATCAAGAATGGCTTTGCCATTGAGTGGGTCTGCTAGGATCACAGATAGAAATGTCTTTTCAAACATTTAAGCTCAGTTTAAACACCAATCTTCTTAACCTTACATACTCCAGAAAATTCCTGCCTTCCTTTCCCAAAGTCTTCTGAAGTCAGGCCCAAGCCAGTGGATAATGGCATCCAACACATCAACAATTCACATACGGATTGGTGAAAGCAAAGGTCTGGATTGGTGAAAGCAAAGGTCTTAAAATGTATGAGCAGAAGTCATTTCTTTCTCTCCTATGAAAGTTTTTTATTCCTTTGCTTTTTAAGACCTGTTAAGAAATAATTTTGGGCATATTTCTCAAGGACCAACCCAGAGAGGAGACATGTTTTAACAAAATCTATTAGTGGGCAATAATTCACACTATCTATCATATTGTACCGTTCATTCATGCATTATCTAACAAGATGACATTTAATACAAAATAAGAATGATGAAGGTCACAGGAATTTGCACAATTTATTACTGGTGTCAAGCCAGATTAGTTTAGCTAGTGCTTGACTAAAATTTGCTTAGTATGTCTGAGTAAAACATTCTTTTTCTAGTGGATTTTTTTTCCTCTCGTACTCTATCTTAAACTAAGTACTGAAGTGACTGTATGGAGCTCTCTGAATCACACCTGAAGAGGGTTATTGAGGTGCATTCATCACACTTCTGTTTCAGCTTTCGCTTACTACGTCTTCAGATCCCAACAGTCACTCTCAAGGGTCCGTGTAAGGACTGTAATGAGATGGAGTAACAATGCTAGGCTTTTGGGCAAGTCTGATAGATAAAAACCCTTGTAAGATGATGATCTCAGTTTAAGATTAAAAAAAAAAAACAAAACAAAAAAAAAACCTTCATATGCACAAGAAAAGTCTTTTTCCAGATAGCCTTTTTTCAAAACCTTTTTAATCTACATTTGAGTGCTGGCCTGAATAATAAGCCATGGAAACTAATCGCCCCTACAGCGGTTTCACCTGGTGAGCAGCTGAACACTACACAGCCTTTTGCTCAATTCCTCCACCACAGTAGGATAGGGAAGAGGATCAGATAAAGGAGAATCCATAGGTTGAGATCAAAACTACTTTTAAGACAGAAAAAAAAGAGATAAATCACAGTAATAATATGTAGCAATTACATATATAAATTTACATAACAAGTGATTCACAAAACAGTTGTTTACTATCCACTGACCAATGCTCAACCAATCCCCAAGCAGTTGCTAAATCCTCCCTCCAAAGATAGAATATAGCATCATATAAGCCACTATGAAGAAAATCAATTGTACTGTAGCTGAAACCAGGACAGCCCTACTGAACACAAATCAAAAGACTCCACTTCATTATCAACCCACCTGATAACTCCAGGTAGAACCAATTTTGTTCTTTGGTTGGAAGAAGTACAAGTTGAAACGAACCCCAGTCTTTGGTGGAATCTAATCTCTAACAGGCAGCTCTATAAACAACATCTGTTCAACACTTTTCAGAAAATTAACCAAGTTTTCTTCCTTTAAGATTCTTGCCACAAATGTTGTTGTGGTTTTTATTTTTTTATTTTTTTTTTTTTTTTTTTTATTTTTTTTTTTTGTGTGTGTGTGTGTGTGTGTGTACCTTTTTAAAATGCCACATTTTTGCTTCTGTAAACGATTTAGACAACTCTCTTATCTACCTTTAACGAAGTTGTCAGAGTTACTCCAGGGTTAATTAAACCCAAGAGGTGCAAAACTACAGCATGGCTTTGAAAGGATACTTCACAATTGTTAGATATGCAGATGAATAAAATTCAGAGCTGACAAACACTTCTCATTCCCATAGCATTTCTGCACATATCCAGGTCTGGGTCTCGCAGCACATGACAGATGCAGAGCTCTTGGAGCATTGGTCAGTGGATGGCATACTTGGAGGGACACAGTACTTTCCTAAAAGGACAGGCTGAGAGAGCAAGGCTTTTTCAGTCTGGAGAAGAAAAGACTCTGGGGAGACCTCACCTGCTGCTTTCCAATACTTACAGAGATATTATAAACGGGAAGAAAACGAACTTTTTACCTGGATAGATAGTGTCAGATAAAGAGATTTTCCTGTGATAAGGTGGTGAGGTGTTGGAACAGGCTGCCCAGAGAAGTTATAGATACTTAATGTCGTAAGAGCCCTAGTACAAACTTTTTTTTTTTTTTTTTTTTACATCAGTAGTAACTATTTTCTTAAAACTGAAGTTGTTTGGATAGATATTTTATTATTATGTAGTTTAGGGCTAAAGAGGAATTTATTTGTAGAGTGACAGAATAAGGAGGTGTGACTAGTGTATTTGCCAGGGATAAGAGAGCAAAACCAAATGTTATTACACTTTCTCTAAGAAGTATTTCCTTCTCTCCAAGTCACTTTGCTCACAGAGTTACTTTGCTCAACTGTGTGGAAGCTGGGTTACAGAACAAGATAACTTTTAAAAGTATTCTTCAGGCAGACCAGTTTTCCAATCTGACTTGCTAGACTGACATATTGACGTTAGACCAGCACAAAACAGTGTGAGAGAAGAATAACTGACCAGGGCACCTTCTGGTGATACTCTGTGCCATGCTTCGGCATATCTCTGAGTCAAGGCCTCTCACAAAGTTAAACATACTGAATAAAATAAACACTTTCCTTCAAAGGTAAGTAGACCTGCGTGACAGGGCACATGCAGAAATCATAACGTAGAAAGTGAAAGTGTTGTTTCTGCATTGAACATTGAAAAGGACAATTGATCTAAAGAATTAAGCTGTAACATATCCTTAGAAATAGCTGATGTGGAAAGTAAGAATGCCATATACACATTAGTAACATATTTTAGAAACATAGTTACCGAATTACTTAACAAATACTTTCTCACAAAGCTGCAACAGATTTTGAGTGTTCTAATCAATGTGGGTATAGTATTCTGAACTAGGAAACATATTGTAAGGTTGTTCATTAGATCAGCAGAAGCAAAATACATTTAAACAAACTTTCAAGGAGTCAGGGCCTTTACACAAAGCAGAACTGCCCCACCTTGTGGGAATGTTAGGATGCCATAGACAGGCTCCAAGATACTCCCCTCTATCTTCCTTCTGAGCTTATCTCTATGCAAGGAAGATGAATGATCAGAACAATGACCCAGGAGTACAAATATTAGGGGGTAATTAAACAATTCAGACTATGTCTATGTTGTAAAACTGACATCCGAAAAGTTATGACCAAGTGTTTGTTAAGAAAGCAATTGTTAGAAGCCAATTAACCTACTAAGACATTTGTTTTTGGGCAGCAAAGATTTGTGTCTACTTGGTGTTTGTATGATTAGTGAGGCGTTATGAACAAGTGTGAACCTGCAGTACTCAGCCAACGAGGAACCAGGGGAGAAAGAGATAAGCGGCAGGTAATAGGGGATAAAAGATGTAACACTGTTTTCTCGGGGCTCTCCTGCTTGCAGGAGGCCTGCCATTGCAAATGCGAATAAAATCTGCTTTATCAGAGAAACCATCCTAGAAAATTATTTGGATATTTCCAACAATAAGAGCCAAGAGGAACAAGCCAGTGCCATCTGCTCACTGCTGTAGGATGAACAGATGTTCTTACATCACCTTCACTAAAATCCAATGTATTTTATGAGTTAAAATCCACCGCTTGGTGTCCCAATTCCTAGCTCAACAGTATTCATTCAGTCACAGCTTCCAGACTGCAAGGTATCACCTTTCTGAAGGGAACCCCCCTGCCTGCACATGATCTCATAGAAAAGAAAGCCACCAATTCAGAAAATAAAACAAGTCCTCAGGCACAGAGACTTAGCAGAGATTGCTAAAGCAGTTTCAGGCAAGCTAGCTGACTTTGCACAGAGGAGCATAAGGAACCTTCCAGTAAAGATAGGCAGCAGCAGATATTGTTGCCTTTGATCAGTTTTGAATTACTCAAGAAAGGCAATGGTCGCAGCCTAGTAACAAAGAAGAAATAACTTACCCCTTGCTAAGGATCAGGATTTGTTAGAAACTTCCAAAGGAGGCAATCTCCAAGTAGAGATCCTTCTGTTCTGGTTGTCAGCCTTTAAATGAGGTTAGGGAAAAGTAGACCCTGGTCCACCCTTTCTGGTCATGCCAGATAATTGCATGCACTTGTGCTCCCAGGGTTAGCTACACCCCTTCACCAGGTGCTCAATCACTGGTTCAGGCCACGTCCTAAGGTTTCCCACACAATCCCATAATCAGGTTCTGTCAACCTCACTACACAGGCAGTAGCTAACAGCAGAACTGTTCTAATGTACTGGTGGAAGAGGAAAAAAGGAGTAAAGTCAAGCCATCAAAATTATTTTGGAAGAAATGGTCTGATCTCAGCTGTTCAGAGTACTGTTCACACAGACAGGTGTCTGGGTTGGGCATCATAAGTTCAGAAGTGATGTGCATTTCCTTATCAGTGAGGCAAAGCAGGCAATTTCAGCACCATTCAAACTCTCCCCATCCCAGCTGATGTGATTTAAGTTCCTTTCCCCCACTCCACTTCACAGGCATGGTAGGTCAGAGAAGTCACTCCTGAGTACCATTTTACGCACTTCCTCTCTTTCCCTCAGTTGTAGTAGTGCAACTAAAAAGCTAACTCTGAATAAAATCAAGCCTGCAAAAGACTCTGTGAAAGTACTAATGTCAGATCATTACTAAAGTATTCAATTTTGCACTGCTTACAAAACCAACACAACTGACGAAAATCAAACTCTGCATGTTACTGGTTACACCCAATCACATCACATTTTGAAAGTTTCTCTTGGGTCAGAATTGCTTTTCACGTGTTTTTAGGTAAGAAAAAGCCATGCTCAAAGCACACAGATGGGTCTGTATAACAGTAACCATGAGCAGGCCTGCTGCCTTAGTAGTGCCACAATAACTCCATTGATCATGGTTGTTTTCATTTTTAAATGAAGTATAACATTTTAATTAAAGAAATTTAACTATAATAAAACAAAAGATAAGCCCATGAGGAGGCAGTAACCTTCAGGGAAAAGATTTTCATGTGAAAGTCCTTCAGTACAACATACACACCATACTTAGCCCTCAGTGAAGGACATAGTATTGTGCCCTGTACCTACAAATCTCAAGTACATTTTGGTCACTCGGTGAAGAGTAACAAGAACTGGACACCAGATTATATTCCAAAATCCTGTACAGAGTATGTAGAAAAATGTAAGGACATTTATAGAAAAAAGCACCTGCATCTTTATCCTGGGAAAATCACACTTCGTTTATATGCAATTATAGCTGCTTAAACATGTAGCATGATATGTGGAAAACGTTTGAGTAGGTAGAGGTTGAAGAAATTAACCGAAAAGATTTCACTTTTTCTGACAAACCTTAACAAGACTTACTGGTTTTGGAAACTATTTCAGGTTCTAGGCATAAAGATGTTGTTCATTACCTACTGTGTCTAAAAGATTCTTTGCTAGCAGTATCATACCACATTAATACATGAAACTCGGAGCTTTCAATTTCATACTCTTTGAGTTCATAGTAGATTGGAAGATACATCACCACAAAAAGTACCAAAAGTGCAGAAAAACCCATGCACAAGTTTTAATCAATAAACTGTAAGACTGTTTTTTTCATTGGCAAGTACAAGATGTTCACATCTAGTGCCAAAGATTCTCACACCTGTTGAAAATTAAGTGAGCAGATTTCCCAGTCTGTAAAATAACAGAAAGCTAAAAATAATCAATCTTGGAAATGACTGGACTATCAGTATCTGTATCCTACCAAATAAATCTATGTGCTTTGAAACTTCTGGAAGCTGTTTGTGTAAATTAGGATGTCTTTTTTCCAAAAATCAAGAACAAGCCATTTGCACCACAAGAAAAACACTTTGTAGGTATTAGCTCACGACCCATAGACTCTCCATTATCAGTGACCAGTAATAGAACTGCACACTCTCCAGTTTATTATCAAGGAAAAAAAGATCTTCAGAAGTAAAGGATGTATTTTTTAAAATATAAGCTAAATTGAATCAGCTTAACTTTCTTTTTCTCAGCTCTATTTCCATCTCATTTCACATTCTAAACAAATACCAAAGATTCTTCTCATGGTCTGGAAATTAGATATAAATGAAGACTAACAGGAATCCCCTTACATTTCTTGCAAAGGCCTTCCAAGGAGATCCAAATAAACCTCTTGACATCAGAAGTGAAATCTACCTAAAACCAATCTGGTTCTCAGTAGGAAATATAGGCATCACCTCTAGTAGTGGAGAGGATTTTGATCTGTACTGCAGAGCTTAAGCCTTAATCGAATAATACTTTTATAAAGCCACATGCTGCTTGCACATGCACAAGCTACTTGCACCATCTCCCACCTCAGTGTATTCCAGCGCCAGCGATAGTACTTCACCCAATAACTCCCACGGACTAAGCCAGGAGCTGAATAAAAGAACCTTCCTCATCTATATAAACCTACTGGGACTTACCAGAATAGGTTAAGGTGTAGAAGTGAGTCAAAATCAAGGTGAGAGGAAGAGGATTTTACTTCATTATGAAGTTGGACACCCTTTGTTTATTCTTACAGAAATTTTGGTATCAATGACTACAGTATTCCTCAACAACCCTAACAGAAGTCTGTTCCACCCTTACAGACTAATTGCTCAGAACTGCAGAGGAATCCCTATTTTCTTTAATCCAAGGAGAAGTCAGCTTTGAGGTTTCAGAGCATTTTAAGTCAGTGTCCACCCAAGGTAGAAAATAATACAGCATAAGAGATTCACCTGCACAGCAAGGTGAAAGAAGGAAAGATGCTTTGAGCTGAAACAGGCAATTAAGGCAGGGCTGCAAGGGGAACCTCAGGATGATTTCTCAATGTTTTCAGTAAAGTCTTCTCTCTGACTTTTCAGTGATCAAAGGCAGAAGAATCTATGGATACAGATATGTGCTTTTTGCCTGTGGTTGACGGTCTCATAGGGAGCAGAAAGCAGACAGACTAAAGTTACACAGAGCACTCAGCAAACAAAGGTGTCTGACAGCAGTGAAGGCACCTGACACAATTCTGCAGTCTGTGAGGTGAGCACAAGCAGCATAGGGCATGCAGCAACACACTTTAAGAGCAGCTGGCTGGCCTTGTGAGAAATGCCCACCTTCAGTGCTGGCACAGCGGTGGTACACCAGCAAACACACAAGCCCATGGGCGCAGAACAGCAGAGACATGAATGGTAGAGAAAGGCCAACAGCTACAATATGCTTGCTCTGATCAAGTCATGATATTTATAAAGCCTTGGCTTGATTAGGAGATTTTAAGCAGTGGGGACTGAAATACTACAAGATAACCTAAATACCCCTCAGTACGTTCTGCTGCTTTCTTGGTACATCTCTCACGTACTTACCTGTGTAAGAAAGCCCAGTATGGGAGGACTGCTCTTACAGCTTTCCATTAGAGGTACTCTCTGGACGTGTCAGAACATGTCCTCTTACACTCTGAATAGCCAGTCATTCAGAACTTAGCACATTTCTGAGGCTCTGCTTAAAACACTAATTTAAAAGAGAAGCACAGAAGCACTATTGAGACAAACTGCTTGCAGGAGGCCAGAGTAAAACCAATGCCTCTTCATTTTCCACACGCACACAGGGGAGAAGAATTTAGGTTTAAAACCACTATGCTTTTGTCAGAATCTTGGTTCGCTTGGCGGTGGACAGAGACACTACTGGGCTGTAGGACATAATTTGCATTCTAATTAGCTTGTATTGCAAGTACAAATCCATGCTCCATTTACACTGAGGCAAGAGCTGGGATTTTATCTCTGTGTCAGAACAGTAGCAAAGAGGTTTGCAAGGCCGGGTGCAAAGGCTCAAATCCTCACCCTGCAAATGATCAAACAAAGCCTGCCCATCTTGTTTGTCAGTTTGACCATAGGGCTGGAGAAATTCTTCAAACTGTCCTCTCGTTCCAAGGTAATGACTAATGACATGTTACACAGAATCACAGAATCACAGAATCACCCGGGTTGGAAGAGACTTCAAGGATCATGTAGTTCCAACCCCCCTGCCTAGCAGGGCCACCAAACGTACACATTCAGATCAGGTTGCCCAGGACCCCGTCCAACCTGGCCTTGAACACGTCCAAGGATGGGGCATCCACAACCTCCCTGGGCAGCCCATTCCAGGGCCTAACTACTCTCCTTGTGAAGAACTTCCCCCTAACATCCAACCTAAATCTTTCCTCCTTCAACTTGGATCCATTTCCTCTAGTCCTGCTGTTGTCAGCCCTTCTGAAGAGTTTACTCCCCTCCTGGCTGTAGGTTCCCTTCAGGTATTGATAGGCTGCAATGAGGTCACCCCGCAGCCTTCTCTTCTCCAGGCTGAACAAGCCCAACTCCCTCAGCCTGTCCTCATAGGGGAGGTGCTCCAGCCCCCTGATCATCTTAGTGGCCCTCCTCTGGACCCTTTCCAAAATCTCAATGTCTTTCTTGCACTGGGGGCTCCACACCTGGACACAGTACTCCAGGTGGGGCCTCACAAGAGCCGAGTAGAGAGGGACAATCACCTCCCTGTCCCTGCTGACCACCCCTCTCCTGATGGAGCCCAGGATCCCATTTGCCTTTCGAGCTGCCAGAGCACACTGCTGGCTCATGTTAAGTCTCTCCCCAAGGTCCTTCTCTGCCGAGCTGCTCTCAAGGACAACTCCTCCCAGCCTGTACGGGTGCCTGGGGTTCTTCCGGCCCAAATGCAAAACCTTGCACTTAGCCGTGTTGAACCTCATTAGGTTCACCCGAGCCCAGCCCTCAAGCCTGTTGAGGTCCCTCTGAATGGCATCCCTTCCTTCCACCGTATCAACCGCACCACTCAGCTTGGTGTCGTCAGCAAACTTGCTGAGTGTGCACTCAATTCCCTCATCGATGTCATTAATAAAGATGTTAAAGAGCAAAGGAGGTGGAAGAACAGAGCATACTGCAAGCAGCCTCCTTTCTTCTCCTAGGCATGACAAATCGTTCCCAACCACAGCTACAGCTCTGATTAAAATACACATTTCTGAAGCACACAAGTGTAAACTGTGAAATCTGTATTACCTGATACTTTATGAAGAAAGGCAATTTTCATTCT